CAACGGAGAGTCTCCAGACTGATCTGCGGGTGAAACCTTGAAAGCTCGCGAGATCAGGATGGTCTCACGAGGCTATGAATTAATGGGGTAATGAAGAAATGTCATTTTTGAAGGAACCACCTGGAGTTTCCACTGAAGTACGGGAACTGACTGAGGCAAGGGTTGCTAACCAAGATAGGAGAGAAGAAATAAAAGGAAGAAGGCAACGGAATCTACAAAACTCAACAAAGTCTGCTTGGATAACAGCAGAGACGGCGCTCCGCTAACGTATAAAGTCGATGCGGTTTAATCTCTTTCCTACCTGCATGTGTTCTGTTGAGCTGCTGCTGAGCTCGTCTCCAGACTCCGAGTCGTTGCGGTGCTTGACGGAACCCTCTCCTGGCGCCTCGCCCGAAGCCAAGCTCTTCTCACTATCTGGACTCTTACTGTGTCTACTTCCCACTCTGAGCGGTGGCGAATCGGCTCGTGTCCGTGGCAACGAAGAGTTGTTGCCGTGGGGGTGGTTGTTATTGTTGTGGAGGAGAACTAGTTCTGCCACCAGCTTGCAGTGGTGAGGGCTTCCTAGGTTCTGGTTGGCGTCCTTTGGGAGAACGGGCGGCGTGACGCGGTCAGAGGACGGCGAAGGGGTGGAGGAAGGTGACGGGCGGCCGAAGCTGGACATTTCCGGCTGAGGTCTGTTGAGGTTCTCGTTGGATTCCCGGCAGATGTCCAAAACAGTGGGCTTGGCTCTCAGGGCGGGTTTCTGGGGGGGCATTAGTGCCCGCCGCACCTCCTTGACGTACTGCGCCGGAACATAAAAGGCTTTCGCACCTTCCTCCTTCCTCACCTGCCACCAGTCCTCATTGGTCTTCTTCACCAGCATGTAACAATCTCCCTGGCGAATGGTCACCATCTTGTCCTTAGCCTTGTACTCATAGTCATACTCCACTTCAACGTAGACCTGACCCGGGGCGATGGCGAGCCCCTCTCTGTCCGCCATGACTCCAGGAGCAAGTGCGTTAACTTTGACCCTCAGCTGCTCACCGGCCAGGCCCTAGGGGGCTCCTCATGTTTCACCAAACTCTGTGGAAGATAAGATAAAAACGAGGTTGGAGGTTACATCTCAGCTGAATAGAACAACGTATTACTTTAAAAACACAAAACTAATTGACCACATCCTCCATCGTTTCTAGAGGTGTATTTACGCCATTTTTCAACATGGTTCACCTGCTGCTGGTTGCTTAAAGTCGTAGGGTAGCGGCCGTTCCAACAGTTGTAGTTCCAAATTCTCCCGAGTGGTGCCCGACTTTACACGAGTGAATGAAGTGAACGTGATTCGTCGTTTATCAAGGGGGCGGGATTGTTGTGGCAGAAGGTTCGCAAGCAAGTTTGGTTGTGG